CTGGTAACCAGTGCTATATTATGCAACCATGATGGTAAATTTATAAAAGCATGACAAAATAGATAGGTATGTCAGCAACTTTTTGTTACGCATCGGGTTCGTCGACCACTCCACAACCCTTTGATAAGCTGGTTCGCAAATGAAATGAGACAAACTACGACTATGGCTGAGAAGGGTGGGATACGCTAACCGGACTGCGTCTCGTATTGTTGCTGACATAGGTACCTATCTATTTAATTTGTCATGTTATTCCATAGATAATAAAGATATTATCAATGTGTTATTCAGTATTCACTATTTCACTGGACAATCGGATGTGTTTGGCTGGGAGAGGTGATAAAATATTAAGGTCCAATTCGTGTGACCTTTGTACTATTGTACTTATTAGTTATTATCGTTTATAACCGATTATTATCGATTATTATGTGTATTGTTAAATTGAGATAAAATTTCGTTTTGACTTCTGGTTTTTACAGTTGGGTTGTTAAATTGCCCAGTAGCAGTAAATTTAACGAATATTTCAGCATTAAGTCGTAAACGGCTTACTCAAATTAAATTCTGTAAACGTTAACATTTTTTTTTTCAGTATGTTTATAGATTTTCGTTATCGAAAATAGGTATTGCCATTTGAAAATGGAAAGTTGATAGTGTTTTATCAAATAAGGGAGGAAGTTAAAATTTTCAAAATTGTAACACAGTGTAAAATAGTAAAACCTAGAAAGTTTAAAAAAAAATTATTTTAAAATTACTAATACTTCCCGACATATTAACTGGTTCACGATAAAAAATCACCCTATATAAGCAGAGGTACGCTAATGCTTCTTGTGGCAGATACTTGTATTATTAGTATATATTAAAATATAATTAAGTAATTGATTATAGCAAAGAACTAATGTTTCCTTGTGTGTGAATAGAAAAAGAATATTGAATACGAATAATATCTAATGGCTGGAAATATACGACGGTAGCGCCATTGTGGCCAAATGTTAAGGTGGGTGCAAACGTGAGAGGTGGCTATTAAGAATCTGTGACATACTGGCGACAGTCTGTAGACGGACTATTATTATACAGGCTGAATTGGTAGCTAATGGTAGGAAATATCTTCTATTCGATATTTGTATACTATAGGTATAATAGTAATTTATTGATTATTTTATAATGTTCGGCGAGCGTGCGAACGGATGTCTATTTTATCCTTTAAGTGATGGCTCCTAATGACAATACGCGGTGGGGCTACAACACGATTGCGCAAAAAATTTGCAACACGATTGCACCCCGATCCCTTTTTACCTGTTAAAATCACAACAACATTGCGCACCTAATGACATGTGTATATACTATATATAATAATTAATATACAACATAAAATAATGTATACATACAATACATACTTTCTATAACTTGCATATGCATATTACGTGCACTCAAACTATAAATTCACAAAATGCACTTTTTCAAAATGAAAATATATAGTATTATAAAATTAATTATAATAATAAGCAAATACTATATATGACAATACGGGACAACTAGTGTCAAAAATCGCAACAAAAGTATGCCCCCCAAGAATGTAACCAACGCGCTCTAGTATTGTAGTTTCCAATATTCAGCCATATACCAGAAAAATATGATAAGCAATTAATGATATTAAAAATATTTTGAATTTTAAATTATATAACAAAAAACGATTACAGCTGTGGTGTAATATATTATTTTATTTATATATTTTATTATTATTAATTTATGACCATGTACAAATTTTAAAACAATCAGTGAATCAGCAATTGGATATAATTAAACTGTAAAGATATCAAATAACAAAAACATAATACATATTATTATGTTTTAAAGTTATTATGAAAAATATTCATAATAGTATAATACATAGTGACATTATTTTCATACAATTATTATAAATGCATTATTTTTTTTAATTTTTTACTTTTCACTTGTTTATAAGTTGGTGTATTATTACATTTTTTTATATAAGAATTGATTGTTACATTAAAAATTTTATCAATAAACAAAAATCTACAATTTTGACAAATGTTTGGACATATTTTTATGTAACAATTAATTTTAGCCAATATTCTACTCTTTATACAACGTTTGTTGTCTATCAATAAATGTTCTATATTATTATTGAAGAGAGAAACTATTTTTTCAACAAATTTCAATGTGCCCGGTAATGGTAAAAGTAAGTTACATTCTTCATATTCTTTCATAGTTATAAAATTGTTTTTCATTGTCATTGATTGGTTTTTATCCTTTGTAGCTAATTCATTTATACAGTTTGAATGGCTTAATTTTGAACAAGCCCAACCAGCTATGTAAGCTATAGCATTTTCTTCATGAATACCCAACTGTATGCATTTTATGTTCATGTCACTTAAATTATCATCAAACCTGGAATCTACATCATCAAGTGAAGAAATATTTGCTTCTTTTTGTTGCAATTCAAATTTAAACTTTTGTTTATTTTTTAGTAAATCAGCACAGCTAATTAAAAATGCACATGCATCAACCTCACAATTTCCATTAACAGGAGGCATAAGAAGTTGTTGGGCAATGCACATTCGTATTGCAGAATGAAACTTGGAGGAGTCTGGTGTGATGTTATTACCTCCTTTTGCACGAATCACCGAAAACAAACTTTCAAGGCAATCTTGAGTTAGGCGTCTTACCAAAAGGTACTCAAAATTAAAATTTTCATGTAAATCTTGATATAAATTTTTTAAGAATATTATATTTGCAATCCATCCTGTGATACACGGAGGTTGCTTATTCTATGCATTTTTTATTTCTAATTCATTAAAAAACTGTAGTGCTTCATTTAATAATTTCCAATGGATTGTATTTTCAGATAATGGTTTTTTGCATTCGTCAAATGAGGCGCTGTTGAACACATCAAATAAATCATCTAAAAGCTTGATAAATTTTGCAGTATAGACTGCTTTTGAACAAAGTTGATTATTTGATACAAGTTTTAAGATTGCAGAACTTACAGTGCGACTAAAAGTCTGTGCTGCCAAACATACACGCATTGGTGAAAATGGCGGTAACTTTATGTGTATTTCTTTAAGCTTTGGGGCTAGTCTTGGCACTTTGTCTTTATCAAGATTATAAAAAGCTACAATATCTGTCCATGAGTATATTTCGTTTTGATGTTTAAAATCATACTTTTTAAAATTATTTCTAACCGATTTTAAAAGTTGAGGTGTATCGTACATAAAGAATATTTTATTATTTTCATAAGTTATCCATGGTTCATTTATTGTTACACCGAATAGTTTTCTTAATTGTTGGTTATTTGTTCCTTGGTCGCAAATAATGACCTTTGGAATAAGATTTATTGAAGATATTTTTTGAATAGTACTTGATATAATAGTTTTAAGTTTTACTCCTGATATAGGTCCACTTGAAAAAAAGTAACCAATTACTTGTTTCCATGAATGTTTTATACCTTTTAGCATTATGACTAAAGCTTGATTACAGTGTAAAATATTTTTTGAATCAATCAAATCTCCAAAATCTTCATAACCCGAAAACATGTCATTTTGGGAATTGTAAGATATAAATTTTTTATTGCCATTTCATCAAAAACTATTGACACAGCTCTATCTGATAGTGGTGAAGATGATAATTTACATTTAAGCACTTCTAAAATATTATCATTTATGCCACAAGCTACATTTAAATTTTGCAGCCATCGCCTAAGTGATCTTACTGTAGGTAAACACAGAAACTTTCTCATGAATGTATATCCTTTAGGAGAGTTATAATATAAACTCAAAGCAAACTATTTTTCATCCTCTTTAAAACGCCATGATTTTTTTTTTAAACTCATTAGTCTCATCTGTGTTTTTAACAAAAAATTATTATTTGTCTTTTCTACAATAATCTTAGTTTTGTCACTATTTTTTGCTTTTAAATTTTGTATTTGTTTATTTTTAGCATGAATCATTTTTTGGTAAACTCGTAACTGTGTTTTTAATTTGGTAATTTTTTTTTTAAGTTCTGAATTATTTTGAGTACCTGATAATAAGTTACCTGTAAACAAACATTAAAACTTATTAAATTAAATACCTAACAAAATACATTGATCCATTGTTTAATTTTTAATTTAAAATAAAAATTGTTATAAGATTTATTTGGTCATTGTAGATTACAAAAAACAGTGAATGATGTATTTAATTTTTTTGTTATTCATTAATTTACATTATTTATTTACAAATATTTTTAAATTTATACTAAATACTCAAACTGTACATTTCTAAAATAAAAAAAAAAATAATTTAAGAGGAAACTTACATTCAAGTAAATCTTCTGGTTTCATACAATCTTTGTTAAAATTTAACGATCGTGGCTTAAATGTTCTTTTATTACATTAATATTTTATATCATAAATAAAGTAACTTAAGTAATTTAATTACTATTATGATATGCAATTTCATATAACTCTATACTAACCTAACCTAACTCTATAGTCTAATCATTTTTATATATTTTAGTAGTATACATTTGTATGTTCACAGCCAGCTTTTCCAGGGAAAAAAAAAGTTCAAGGTGGGAATGTCCCCTTGGAGCACTCAGATTTACCGTTTAACACAATTTCACACTGATTGTCTACCAAATTTCGTCTCACGCAAAAAATATTTAATATTTTCTTTTTTACTCATGTTGGTTACACTGTTTTTTTTATCTAAAATTTGATAAACAAATGTACAATAATTTTTAAGGTTGATTATTTTTTTATTATATTCAGTTCATAGAAAAAGATTAATGATTCAGTTACTAATGATCTATTGTTCACTCAAGTTGTGTCTCATTTTTCTTTATTTTCTCAAAGTTTTATTAAATTGTAAAAGTTATTTAATTTCTTCAAAAATGAATTTTCAAAAATGCACAAACGATATCCAGTCATTGGTCGATCAAATACGATTAAATTCAACGCCAGCGTATCCAGAATTCTCTACATTTGTATCGAGGTTACGAACTTTTAAAAGTTTCCCTTCAAATACCGGACAGAATAAGTACAAACTCTCGGAATGTGGATTTTACTATATCAATCTCGACGATGCAGTTCAATGTCATTTGTGGGGAATAATTCTACATACTTTTGAAATCGATGATAATTGTTTTATAGAACATACTCGATTCTCACCTAGATGTTTATTTGTATTGTTAATGAAAGGAAATCAGTTTGTTCAAAAAGTCTTAAGTAAATATTGTGAAACCGGTTCGTACGACACCATTTGTTAAATCAGGTTTTTTTTTAAAATGTTTATGTATACATATATTTATTTATGCTACTTATAATATTTGCTGTATTGGATAAAAAAAAAAAATAAAACAAAATTGAATTTTTTATCTTAAATGTGTTAATATTCGATTTAATATCTCGTGGACATACAGTCCTAGCGAATTAGTGCGTATAAAATAATTTAAAATGTTTTTCAGGTAACAGGTTAGTAAGTATATGTAAATTCCCTCTCTTGTACGCACTCATTGGCTATCTGTATGTTCACATTTTTTGCATTTTTCCAAAGAGTTTTTTAGTATATAATATGACTGCAAAGGGAACAAACTAACAGTTCAATGTATAACTCCTAACAGTTATATCCCACTTCTTATTTATAAAAAAAGATTTTTTTTTAAATTTGACAAAAATAACTTCACTATGAGTTCACCAATAATTGTCTGTAAGTCTACATTCGACATCCGGGCTTTTAACAAGAAAAGGATTACAGTTGGATTACTAATTAACAAGCAGATTTCAATTATTTTATTATTGGAATGTAAACTTACAAAGAAAATTATCACATTAAGTTTAGAAGAATGGTTTACATTAATGTCTGAACCTAATTACAATTTGATTATTAATAATTTAAATACTAGGGTGAGGCGTGTAAAAATCACTGATTCCTTTTCATATTCTACCAATGTTAAACAGAGTTTAATTACCCTAAATCTAAATGAGGAATACATTACCTTCACATGTAGATTTGTACCGGCTTCGTCAATTACAGAATTTGATAGATTTGTACGTGGTAGACAAACAAAAACGTTTAGCAAATTATCAAAATACTTTCAACACCGCATATGACCTAATTAAAAATTATGTCCTGAAAAAATAGTCTGACGCTTCGGATCGGTTAGTAATTTGTCAAATATGGTTTGTATTGTCTCATTAAGACCAGTATGAAGCGTTTGATCTTTTGATTCATCGCTTGTATACAATCTGACAGTAGCTTCACTGAACTTCCATCTATAATAGCAAATTATTTTATTTTAAAAACAAAAGAAGTTGTAACGATTCGCAGTTTACTGACTCGTCATTTATGTCGCACTCGGCGAATTTGCTTAGGTGAACAGAAAACAGGAACGTAGAATACGAGCATATATATTATTGGCATAGCAGCCAGTCGAGTTTTGATCCGTGAAATAGAGACTATACATCAGTCTACTATAGTCATATTTACAATATTATTAAACGTAATTTTTTGATTAACTTTAAGTATATAATAACGTACCTAATAGTTAAATTATAATAATTCAGTATTGTTCAACTCGTACTCCGCTACTTCTGTTATCTTCAATATACTACCCTTAAGAACAGGGTTACTCAGGTGATAGTGTATTTTATTGGTTATAATATTATAATTACTTTAGTCTTGAATAAAACATTGTATTCGTTGCTATATCGTGTTAATTGTGTTAGTTTATGAACGCAGGTCATAAGTTTCTAGGACCTGTAAAATATAACTCAGAAAACTTTATTTATATCAATTCAACAACCCGGATCTAAGGACCGGTTCGTGTAGTGGGAATAGCCAACCAACTACTCCTTAACTGGATAGAGTTAGGTATAAATATCGACAGCCACTGGGTTTGACAAGCCGAGGAGGTGTGTTGCAAAGTAAATAAAATCAGTGAAAAAAAAAATAAAAAACAGATTAATCAATAGGTTTTTTAAATTTAAACCAATGTATTTACCTGTCTTTTACTGGTACATTCTCAATGTTAGCAACCTTATAGTGGCTAATTACCCAAAGCTCCTTTCCTTTTTCTTAAAAAGGTGTTTTTATTGTTACAACACCATCCCCTTGTCTAAATGCCAGCGAATTAATTAACTCGACATCAAATTCTTCTGATCTCAAACGTTCCGTAACATTATCTCTGTATCATGCATTCTATAAAAAAATTTAATTATTTATGCTATCATTATAAAAATATTATTTATATTACCAATTTATTCTGCTTTTTTTCATAGGTTTTTTTGCACTTCGTTACACTAATGACAATTCCACGTATCTACAATTTGGAAACTTTTCAGGAGATGCAAAAAACTGTTTTACTTTGATTTGATAACATTTTTTTATACTTTTATTATAATTTCATATTAATTATTTGGCTTAAAATAGTTTTTGCTTAAATTCCAAATTCTAACTATCAATGTGAGTTTTTTAATGTAGATACGTGATGTTCACGAACAAATATTTAGTTACGTGTTATTGCATGTGTAGTTACGAGCTATTGCATATTTTAATTTCTCGATCCAATCAAAATTATAGTATGAAATACCACGTAACTAAATGAACAAATTGTAATAACTTTACAATCGATTACCATTAAGATGTTTTAAAAATAAATTAAATGCAAAATAAATAGGTAAATACTTGTAAAACTGTTGGGTATATTGTACCCAATTAGTTTAAAAAATGTAATTTTATGGCTAACCAATTGCCAAATTAAATTATAATAATATAGTATAGCAATTTAAAGTAAAATTTTTAAAACTTAAACAGTATTAGTGTAATATAGAATAAATTGTTTATCAGACTTGATTTCATTTAAATAATATTAAGAACTTTAAATACTACTAACAAAATGTAAAATTATTAAAAACATAAACAGCATTAGTGTAACATAAAATAAATTGTTTATCAGACTTGATTTCATTTAAATAATATTAAGAACTTTAAATACTACTAACAAAATGTAAAATTATAAAAAAACATAAACAGCATTAGTGTAACATAAAATAAATTGTTTATCAGACTTGATTTCATTTAAATAATATTAAGAACTTTAAATACTAACAAAATTTGAAATTATAAAAAAATTAACAGTACAAGACATGTAACATAAAATAAATTGTTTATCAGACTTGATTTCATTTAAATAATATTAAGAACTTTAAATACTAACAAAATTTGAAATTAAAAAAAAATTAACAGTACAAGACATGTAACATAAAATAAATTGTTTATCAGACTTGATTTCATTTTAATAATTTTGATTTGTCAATTTAAATATTTCCTTTCCTAGGTTTTAAATTGTTACAATGAGGCAAAGCATCATAAAATGGATGGATATCAACAGGCAGAACTTTCTTAATGTTTTGCAAATCTTGCCACTTTGACAACGTAATGGGCAATGGATTTTTATACAAACGGTTAAAACTTGAAAAAAAATCTTCTGTAATATTGTCATTTAAATGTAGTTTTTGTCTTGTAGCTTTTTGAGGAATCTTGCTGTATGGTTCATC